GATGGTTGTATTGGGCTGGATGGGATTTTTAAAGAGGATGTTCAGCATTGCGATGCATCTTTTGAAGCAGCACCTGTGAAGAGGAATCATAGTCCTTTGACTATGCTTTCACCAGGTTTTGATTCCCAGGTAGAAGACAACCCACCTACAGAGGTATTTATATCTACTACTCTCACTTACTGTTCTCTTTTTGGGACTTCAACTGCTACTTTTTTTTTCTTTGATTCTTATAGGATTTGTTTGGGTATAATGATGGTGGTTGTATTGGGCTGGATGGGATTGTTAAAGAGGATGTTCAGCATAGCGATGCATCTTTTGAAGCAACACCTGTGAAGAGGCGGTTTTCTAATGATTTTCCAATTGGTTTCGGTTGCAAAAAATCTAAGATTGTTTGTGTTGATAAGGAAAACTGAAGTGAATCTGTGTGTGGCTTTAAATGTATTTGGACAATGATTTTCCTATTTCTAATATTTCCCTAATGTTTTATGATTTATCAACTATCAGACTATGTTCATGTTTCTGTTATCAATAGAGATCTGGATAAATTTTTACCTGGCATTTGCTTCCTAATACATGTGTTCTTCTTTAACTTTCAGCTTTTCCATTTGGTATGAGTGGGTTTCAATTGTCATTCGTCCTGCTTGGCCAGATTCCTGTAAAGGTGATAAAAATTGGTAATGTTAGTCTAGATTCATACATCTGAATGGAGTGGATGTACAGCAAAACTACATTCTGTAAACAAAAGAAAAAATGAGTGTTTTGTATTTTTGCTGTAAAAAAATAATAACAATGATGGCATGTGCAGTATTGTAGTAGGAAATTCTTCAATGTCAATACTACATCATTGGGAATAAGATATATACAGAAAAAATCACATGGTAGTCCACAAACCAAATGAACATGTTTCAGAGCAACTGTTGGGAAAGAGCAACTCCAAAGTATGCAGTCTCCCTTCACAGTACTTAGTGTTTCTACTGATTAAGAAGTGCTTTCACAGCACTGTTCTAATCTTTTGGGTGACAATCCATTGAGTATGCTTACTCAATTAGTCAACAGATTTCAGTAAGAATGTGACAAGAGGTTCCAGATCTAAGCTGGAGTGATGACATGGAGTATTCCAGGTTTGACAAAAGGTTCTAAGTTAGTTTTTTAGTACACTAATAAACATGAGTTACAGATCTAAGCTGGAGTGATGAAATTCTAACTTAGTGTTGTATTAAAAGTATCTGTTGAACCTTTGATACTATTTATTTAACCAAGCTTAGTACATGTGTTATACATTCAAACTCAATAATTTATGTAAAAAAAAAATTTAATACCAACCATCTGAACTGTCAACATCCATAATCCTAACAGCCAATGTTAGGGATTATATAATTTTTAGGCTCATTTGCTCAAAAAAATAGGCTTTGATCAATGTTATCAATGAAGTAAAATTATGAAATTAAAAACTAACACTGTAAATCAGTTTGGAAAAAGCTAACAGTGTATATATATATATATATATATATATATATATATATATATATATATATATATATATATATATATATATGAATACATAAACATATACAAATAGATGCATCTAAGTGAATGGATACATGTACATATTGTTAGCTAGCTAGAAAAAAAAAATCTGGGAAGGAGTTTTATTCCCAAGGAAATATAGGTAATGAGTATAATGTAACCTATTGAGTACAACAGATAAAATTTTCAGAGGAATTGTATTTCCAAGAAACTAGCCGTTGCTTTTTACTACAAATCTAACTATCACTAATCATTCTATTACGAATATCAATGGTCTTTCTTTTCTATAAATTGGCTTCATTCACTTGTGTTACAAAATCATTCATCAATTTCGCTTTCAGTCTTCAAATGTAGATACTAAGCAGCACATTAAAGAGATATGAGGAAGTTACACAATTCCATGAGGATTTAAACAAAAAGGTATGGATTACTAGCAATCAATTTTTATAATTTCAGAAAAATTTGAATACAGGCTAATTTTTTTAGTCATAAATTATTAATAAGAGAAATTATAGGACTTATCTTTGTTTTTATTTTACTATTGAACTGCGAAATTCTCTACAATTTGGTGCTCGATGCTATCCAGATGAGTTTAGATCTGACATGCGAACAAAATAGTTAGGGTTTGTGGTTAATTAGAAGAACACATATTTCAAAATGACATAATTTAAGTACAACTAAGAAAATATGAAGAAAAATACTGGAATATTTAAGTGAGAATTAATTTTTTACAGTTAGAGAAAAACTTATATTTTTTAGAGCTCAAATCATATTTATTTTCGTTTTTCAGATTCGAAATTGATTTGCATGGGTATAAATTGGTTAGGATTTGCGGTCAATTAGAAAAAATATATATACATAAATGACATAAAATAGAGAAAAAAATATAGTGTATTGTATAATCTTCCTTCCATAGTGTTCGAACATGATATCTGCAAATCGACCGAGATTTGGGTAGAACAGTGGGTAAAAATATATAAATAACTAATGAAATTAGTTAGGATTTTTATTTAATTAGATAAAAATATATAGATAACTGAAAGAAATTAGAAATAAATTACCATGTATTGTAGATTCTTGCCTCCATAGTGTTCGAAAGTGTATCTGCAAATCGAATCAGATTTGTGTAGAACAGTGTGAGTAAATTCTTTAATGGTTTTGGAATGGTGAAATGAATGATTTTTAAAGTGATTTTGGTAGTATGGAAGTCGGATTGTAGTTTCGAGTTGGTATTTTTGCCTGGTTTCCTTCTTCGTCGACGGAGGTAGGCTTAGGGCAGAGCAACGAGAGAGACGGCGAGGAAATGGGGCGGTAGTGCTGGAGTGACTCGGGTTTGGGGGGTTTTATATGGTGGGCTATGTTTGGGTCGGGTTTTGGCTGATCTGTTGGGCCAGTGTTTTGGGTATAATATATCTATCTAATAATATATATTCAGATAGGTTGGCCCAGTTATACAAAATAATTTTTTTATACCTGATATAGTTTTAAATAGAAATTTATATATATTAACTTTTTAATTTGTTTAATTGTGGATATTTATATAATTTGGAGTATAAAATTTGAACCATTTTATTGAATTTTTTAGCACATTAATCTTGATTGATTTTTTAAATTCTGTGTGTATATAATTTTTGTTTTATTTTAATCTCATAAGAATATTATAATGTTTCATTTCAATAAATTTTATAACTGTTTGTTATATTATTATTGTAGTTTTTTCTTTATTTGCGTATTCATTAAATTGTGAAATACATATTTAGAATGGATGTATTTCAATAATTACGTGGATATTAAAAACAAAATGTAAATATGGCATTATATATACATATGTGTGTGTGTGTGCGCGTGGGGTCAGTAATATAACTTACTACACTAATATGAATTATTCATTTTTTTTATATACTTACATAATTTGGGACTTATGTATTTATTTCATTTAATTTTTTATTTTTATATATTTTAAAAATTTCAATTGAATATCTAACTGTAGTAATTTTGTTTATAAAGTTCAGCAAAAATTACGAAAAGAGATACGGATTTGTGATCATTCTCTCCATTAGGAAAGGGTGTCGGTGAATTCTACAATAATGTCTTCGTTAAATTCTAGATCATTTTCTGCATCTTCATCCAAAGTTACTATGCGTAATTTCAATTTGCAATATGAGCCCGCTTTGTATTGCAAATGTGGGTTGAAATCTCCGTTATGCGTCGGTCGTGATAGTGGACGGAAATTCTTTGGTTGTCAACTGTGGAAGGTTAGATTACAAATCTTTATATAAAAATCATTTGGGTATGTGGTTAATTTATATGAGTATTTTAATATCACAGGAAAATGATTGTGGATTTTTGGTATTTATTGATGATATTATGAAGAATGCTCAAGTTCAAGAAATCTCGGGCAATATTGATTATGAGGCAACACTAAATGTACTAAGAGACTTGAGTTCTATTTGTCAACGACTAAGAGATGATATGTCATTTGTGCAAATAGAGTGGTCGAGAGTTAAAATGTCAATGAGTGGTGCCACTCAAGTTGAAAAGGAAAGTTGGTCCAAGATGCTTACTGCTATTGTTGTGGTAGGTGTGGTTTTATTAGCAATGTTGCTCTGCTTTGGTACAAAAAATAGTAATAATCTTAGTTTGCCTATTTTGTAATGTTGTTTTAAAAAAAATAGTGTTATAATGGCAAAAGTAAGCTAATGAAGGCATACTTTGTTTGTTGTATTTAGTTTGTAGTTCTACATCTTTTAAAGATATACCAACCATTAATAGTTTTCATTACTCATGTTTTCGAGGTGCATGTTATGCTTTTGGTATACTTTAGTATTGTTTTGAAACATTTTGTATTTCATACTACACATTAAATATTTATTTATTTTCTTAAGATGTGTATTATCAATTCAATATTTAATTACAATATAGTTTAATTTTCATCCCGTGCATCGCACGGGTGCAATACTAGTCTATGTACATAAAACGACATTGAATGAGCGGGAAAATGAAAATTGCAAGAAGTTCTTGCTTTATTATAGAGTTATATTAGATTAGATTAGATTAGATTAGATTAGATTATATATATTCCCATTTTTATTAATTCATTTGTCATTAGATATATTTTCCTTATTTATATTATTTATCTTTTATAATTCTCAATTTTAGATTATTCGCTTCCGCATTTTTCCGCTATTATTATTATTATTATTATTATTATTATTACTATTATTATTATTATTATTATTATTATTATACCCTTTTGATCATTTTACATGTTAACCGCTAATCTAAACAGTTAATTTTATCAAAAATCTTCTTACAAACTGTTGGTCAAATCCGTTAATATAATCCGCTATTTTCTAACCACTAATACAATTCGCTAACTCTGACCGCTGATTGCCAAACAAGACCTCTTTCTATATTGGGTGACGTTCACGCAAGCATATTACAACAATTATGTTATATTTACTGGGTATTTATTTATTTGGTAATTTGGTAATAAAAGATTAAAAGCTCAAAATCGCTGCCACTGGAACTCGATCTGAAGTCAAGTCACATGGACATCGCCCAGTGAGCAAAGTAGCAGTACAGAGAGAGAGAGGCAGTGGGGGTTTACCGAAGAATTCAAGATGGCTTTCAGTCCGAAGCGAGCTATGGCGGAACTCCGCCACTCCAGCTCCATGGGTACCCGAGCGTCGCAGTCTCCGAGGAAGCGTGACGACGTCGGTTTCTCTCCCTCGTTGCCGGGAAGTCCCAACGCCGACGGAGACAACTACCGTGGCCGTCATCCGCGAGATCGCATCCGCTCCCTGTTATCCACCAATCTGCGGTCGATGTTCCCCTTCTTGTTCGCCGACAGGTCTCACCTTCACAATTCCAAGATCTTCTTTCTCTTCGGCGCCGTTATCGTCATCGCTGTAATGATTTCGGCCTTTTCAATTTTCAACAGATTGGTAAGCCATCCTCCTTGGAAATAGATAAGTTAATTGCTATGCGATTAGTTACTAAGATGTTACAGCCTCTGAAATGATTGTCACTTCTAAAGCATTGGGATTAATGGACTAATTAGAGATCAGAGTGAGATCGTTATGATAACATTCTATTGTTCGGCTGCATATCGTTGATGATTTTGTGTGTGATCTTATGGAAATTTGTTGCCTCTTTTGAAGTAACTTGGGCGTAGTGTTTTGTTTAAATGCTAGGTGCTGCTTTGTTTTTGCATTGACATTTGTAATTGAGTTGACAGAGTTGTCAAGTACGGTGCTAGGCTTTCTACAGTCATGTTTTGGTATTTTTGTACTGTTTTCGTGAATATTTTGAGGAATGCTTTTAAGGGAGTTTATTTTAGTTACTGCTGATTACATTGGTGTTTAAAGTTGGTACTTTGGGGCTTGGGCTGTTTCCTATACGACTGAAGAAAAGTGAGTAATTTGACATAGTACTCAGATCTGCTCCAATCACAGTGGTTTAGTGGATTATTGCAGCTGCCTTGGTGAGGCTCAGTTGAGTTCAACTTTGACCCCACTTTCCCTGTCCCTCCTTTTCTTTTTTTTTAGGGCATAGTGAAGAGAACTGATGTATCTTTTAATTGAATTTATTTGCATCCCTAAAACTGAAAAAATGAGTAATTTGAAGACTAGGTGAACGTGAGGATGGTTATTATCTTCTGACCATCTAACTTTTGAACTCTACCTTCCTTTAAGATAACTCCAGAGATATTTAAAAAAAAAAATGAATTTCTAGGTTGCAATGATTGGAAGCTGCCTTATGCACCTAGGATCATATACCAATCTGTACATTTAAGTACCCTGGATTTGATTACCCCCTAGGTTTGGGCTTCTGTGTGAACTGTTACAATTTAATCATCATTCACCTGATGAGGGTTCTTGATGATAAACCTTGGTGCAGTGGATTATAGTGGTTAGGCTTTAATTTACTTTATTTTGGTGCAACTTAGGCTTTCTTTTATACTTCTTTATATTGTTTGTCTTACTAGTTTTTCTAAATAAGAATATTTGAAGGTAGCATGACATTGGCATCCAAATTCCCATATTATAGCATATAAATTCCATAGAAGTTCTAAGATCATCTTACTATATTACTTGTTATGTTCTTTTGTCTGTAGAATGCACCATATTTATGCATCAAGGAGGGCATAACTCTTCATTGTCCACGGGTAACTTCTTTATACACCATCATTGACATTGCTATCCCATTCATATTACTGTATTATTTTTCTTCTTATGTTCCTATATTTAAAATCTCCAGTGTTGTTAGGTTAAAGAGCCTCCTTCACTCTGGGAGAATCCTTATTCTGCCACGACCTCATGGAAGGCTTGTGCTGAAAGGCGAAAGGGTATAATTTCAGGTGCCATTTGTGTTCTAATAGTACTTTCTACTTTCTATATTGCAAGTGAATGGATCAGGCTGTTAACTTTTTGTAATCCCCTTAGTCTAATTAATCAGCCTTATCGGCAAAGGTCTTAGTTGATAGGTAAGTTCAACATCTTTTCATATAATGCAGTGGAAAAAGGAGAGGATAAAAAGAAGTATATGACAATAAATCCATTGATCTGTTCATATGCCCTGATTTGCTTTATACTATACCCAGAAGTAGTGAATTATATAGTAACAGCAATTCTTCCTGATGGTTTGCAGATCTTCCACCTATGAATGAAACAAATGGATACATATTTATTCATGCTGAGGGTGGTCTAAACCAGCAAAGAATTGCTGTATGTTTTTTCCTTCCAGACATTGTCTTATCTTACAAGTGTATTGTCAGACGTGACTAGTTTTTGTGTCATCAACCAATCCTCTAACCTGTCATGCTCTTGTGTGTAGATCTGCAATGCTGTTGCAGTGGCCAAAATAATGAATGCCACTCTTATTTTACCCGTGTTAAAACAAGATCAAATATGGAAAGACCAAACGTGAGTGACACTTGACTATGCAATATGTTCCAGTTATGTTAGAATGATTTAATTGCATTAAAGGTTGTCACTTTTGCCAGTAATGGAAATATAGTACATGTTGCATACTCTTATTTTTCTCTACTTCCTATCTTTGCCTTTGTCTATAATACCTTGGTTCCACTCTTTGTAAATAAGCAAGTTAGGTGATTATATAAATCATAAGTTTAAGGCTAGTAAGCTAGTTGGATGAGGTGGAGTAGTATGAGTGGAATTTTATATGATATCTTAAAGTCCCAGTAAAGTTTAAACACTAATTTTTGTGAATATTTATTTGGATAATAATACTTTGTGGTAATGAGTGTTGAGTATGAAATCAAAATTCCTAAAGGCCGTTGTTTAGCTGTGTATGGATAAAACAAAGTACCACATTAGAAAATGCTGTCACCAGAATAAGGCACTTTTTGTGCCAGTTGAGGAAAAATTGGGAGAGGCTGGACATACTTAACTTAGGCCAACCATAAATAGTAGTAATAGGGGAATGAAGATAAAGAGGAAGTGGTAAACTGAAACCTTCTTAGTTCAAAGTTATCAAGATGCATTTACTAAGTTTAATGGCTTATGGCAGGTTTAGCAATTAATTAGAAACGTGGAATTTATGTAATGGACTCCAACTAGACTAGGACTAAGGCTCTCAATTAAGTTGACTTCAAATTTTATTTTTTTATCTATGTTTTGCTTTATAGTGAAGATTAATAGTCTTTCTGATGAGCTAAAAATGTGTGCAGGAAATTTGAAGACATATTTGATGTTGATCATTTTATAGACTATTTGAAGGATGATGTTCGAATTGTCCGTGATATACCTGAATGGTTTACTGACAAATCAGAGCTTTTCACAAGCATAAGGTTAGGTGTTGCCATTTAATGTCTTACATATACATCAATACATGTTAGCAGTTGTTGGATAGTTGACAATTTTTAACAGAAATAACCTGTTTAGCACTGAGAGCTCCTTAAATTCACTTCTTATCAATCTTCATTTCAAAACATTCCTTTCAGTATATTAGCATTAAGGGTGGGGGGTAAACATTGAAATTTGAAGATTCTTTATATTATTAGTGATCACTTGAAACATTCTCTTATTTAGCAAATGAAGCAGACATTAGGCTATAGTTCTAGAACAATTGTATTCTTTGGGTTTATCTTTTCTATTATCATTAGTTTGTTTTGTACTTGCATTTGGCACATACTTTTCTAGTACTCTTATTTACCATGCTCTCCAGACGAACGGTCAAGAACATTCCAAAGTATGCTTCAGCAGAGTTTTATATAGATAACGTTTTGCCACGAATCAAGGAGAAGAAGATAATGGCCTTGAAACCATTTGTTGATCGGCTTGGGTAAGTAAGTTTCCAAATAGATTTATTTCTTTTGTTGGCCTAACTAGTACCCATGGAGAGAGTTCAATATGAATAATATTTCTCTATGTTGTTCAGGTATGATAACGTTCCTTCTGAGGTAAACAGGTTGAGGTGCAGGGTGAACTATCATGCTTTAAAATTTCTTCCAGAGATCGAACAAATGGCAGATCTACTAGTCTCAAGGATGAGAAACCGTACTGGTAGCTCAAATCCCTTCATGTAAGCTATATCTTCAGAGAAGGCATTCTTAACAATTTTTTAATGTTCTATCTTTATCTTTTTTATTCAATAAAGGATAAGTAAAAGTTGTACCTTAAACAGGGCCCTTCATTTAAGGTTTGAGAAGGGGATGGTGGGATTGTCTTTCTGCGATTTTGTGGGGACCAGGTTGGAAAAGACTCTAATGGCTGCATACAGAAAGAAAGAATGGCCACGGCGGTTCAAGGTTATAAAGATTACAATCAATGTTCTTTCATAAGATCCGAGCTGATCTGAATTCCTGACAGAGCTTTTTGTTTCTGGATTTTGCACGTATAGGATGGTTCACATTTGTGGGCATTGGCCCTGCAGAAGCGGAAGGAAGGCCGGTGCCCTCTTGAGCCTGCTGAAGTGGCAGTATTGCTTAGGGCAATGGGTTATCCTAAAGAAACTCAAATATATGTTGCTTCTGGGCAGGTCTATGGTGGACAGAACCGGATGGCACCACTTAGGAACATGTTCCCTAATCTTGTAAGTTCTTCAATCTTGTAGTTAAATTTATGAGGCTCTTTCATGCCCTTTTGCACTACAAGCGATATATGAAGCTTGTGTATGGAGTGATGCTAATTACAGCCCTTTTTGGTTTTGTATTTTGAATCATATTGTCAAGTATCACTATTGGTTAATCACTAAATTGTGGTGCCAATAAGAGATGATTTGACCTTGGAATCTTTAAATTATCTACTGATTCTCTAGGAAGTTTCTTATAAAAGCCAATGTTGTTGCTCAATAATTGATTTTGACAAAGTTCACTGATCATTACTTATCTTGAATACTATAGACATTTTTTATTTTGACAAAGTTCTAATCATTCATTTTGTGACAGTGAAACTGTGAAACTATGCGCAATGTTCACCCATCACTACTTGAATAGTAGTGTAGATAACATTTCCATTTAAATTCTTCAGTTGTTATCATGATGAATTGTATTTAACAGGTTACAAAGGAGGAATTGGCAAGAAAGGAGGAATTGGATGAGTTCAGGAAGCATGTAACAAGTTTGGCGGCCCTTGACTTCCTTGTTTGTTTGAAATCTGATGTTTTTGTAATGACACATGGAGGAAACTTTGCTAAATTGATAATTGGGTATAGAAGGTACATGGGTCACCGCCAGAAATCTATAAAACCGGACAAGGGTCTCATGTCCAAATCCTTAGGAGATCCATACATGGGCTGGGCTTCCTTCAAGGATGACGTTGTCATTACCCACCAGACAAGGACTGGTTTACCTGAAGAAACATTCCCGAACTATGACATCTGGGAGAACCCCTTAACTCCTTGCATGTGTAAAGCCTGACTACATTAGTCGGTAAAGGTGAATATCTTTAACTCTCTTTTGGAAGAGTATTCTTTTCAGAAAACATTTTGCTTAAGCAATCGGCAGTTCTATAGTGTTAGCATTGTCAAAAAGGTGCAAGGAGAGCAGCACTTTGGGACAGAGAACTTCCTCCCAGCATAATCTGAGATGGACATGGAAATCTGAATGACATGAGAGCTGCAAGTAGGTGAAAGTACACCTTGCATATGTGGAGCAGCCTATGATTTTCACCCGTGTTGTGATTCTTCTCCTAGCCTCTATGAGGACTTGCAGTTTTGTATGTTGGAGGTTAGATTATTTCTCGATTGTTTCATGATAATGTGTAAATTACAACACTGCTAAGCAGCATGGTGTATGATGTTTTCTTGATTAGAATTATAACCTAATCTAAAAATACTCATCTACTTGACATACATAAATTGGCTAAGAAGCATGATGTGTGATGTTTCTTGGCCTCAGAGAATTTTGCTGCTACAGTTGGGCTGAAGCTAGGCTCTGATTGAGATCTGATGATTCTGTTTGAGGTTTGATTGTTTTGCTTTTAGGTTTATTCAAGCTTGTTTAAGCGGTGTTGATAATAAAATATAAAAAATAGTAACCATTTATAGGGCGTTTGGTTGGAAGTAAGGAATTAGGGGGGAAAGAAATTGTAATTCGGTGGGAAAAGAATAATGTGGGAATAAAGTAGGAATTCAAATTACACTGTTTGGTATACAAGAATATGATTTCAGGGAATAAGTGATACAATGACTGAAATGTCCTTATGAATTAATAATAATAATAATAATAATGACAGAAATGCTTGCCGATCGAAGAGCATCGTGTGAGGCTAGCTTCCTCGCTCCAGCGTGTTTTGGCAAGAGACGCGATAAGCTAAGCGTGTTCTTCGAACTCTCACACTCTAGAATCGACCGACGATCTAAACGAGACTAGGTTGGTTTTTGCCTACGATAACCGCAAGTCGTGCCGATCGGAGAGCATCGCGTGAGGCCGGCTTCCCTGCTTTAGCGTGCTCCGGCAAGAGATGCAATAAGTGTGTTCCTTAAACTCTCCGCCCTAAAAACGCTCGGCGATCCAGACAAGACCAGGTTGGTTTTTGCAGACGGCGATCTAGGGCGGTTGGATTTCCATCGCAGCAGCAGTAGACAAGCTTCGTCCAGGCATCGCAGTCTGGTGGCTGTATAGAGATGAGAGATGAGAATGAGATGGTGGATGACATCTAATAAGACAAGGGTATTATTAGAGGGGTAAAATTGTCTTCACACTATCTTTTTTTCTCTCCTTGAGCGCCAGATTGCAATTCTTTTGGAGGGGGTCTGAATTCTAACTCAGCAAATAGAGGGAGTTGCAATTCAGTGAAATTGTAATTCCTTTCAACCAAACAACGTAATTGTGACCTCCATTGAATTCCAATTCAACTACAACTAAATTACATTGAATCAAGCATACACTTAGACATTAAATGATAAATTTTTAGTTGAGATCTAACATATTTTTTTAATTAAAGGGTTATGTATTTGAATTTTTATGCTATTTACATTTTATTGTTTATTACTTTTTAAAGTTTTAGTTAATTGATACGAACCTCGTGCATAGGAGATCACCCCCAAAAAAAACTTTTAGAACGTCACGTACTCTTTTAGAACGCAATCTTTGAGTAGGAAAAGAGATAAAGAAACATTCTAAAAAATCTAGTAAAGAAACTTTCTGAAAATTTAATACTTTTTAAAAAAATAATAAAGAAAACAATAAGATAATAACTTAAAATAAACAATACTTTTCCAAGTTTAAGTAGGTTCTTAATGGATATGACTGGTCTACATCATTCTCCATTTCTTGAAAAAGATTCGACATTAAATCCGCACCTTTAGACAAGAATTCAAAAGGACAACTCCCTTTTCTCTATCTACTTTATGGTCAATATATTTGTTCAACACATCCCTACTAGGGGATAATTTTTAGTTTATGTCAGGTGAAAAAACTTGAGTGGGGTTATTTGTAGATGTGGAGTGGGGTTATTTGCTTGGTTCTTCCTCCGGTAAAGAACGAAATCATGTTAGAATTTTTTTTTTTAAAAAAAAGGAAGACAGAAGCGCGCTTGACGCGCACCTTGCGCCCACAGCGGGCGCGTGCACTACTATGACTTTTGAACCACTTTTTACGCTTTTTTTGTTTTGTTTTGTTTTTGTTTTATTTTTTTTTTAAATGTAAGAATTTGTTTTATTTTTCATTTTTCTTTTTCACCCACATTTTTATCTCCTAACGGAGATAAACTACTAAGGATGCTCTAAGCTCAAATTCATCACTATATATTCTAAAGCTTCACATTCATCCACTGAGGGCACTATGCCTCCGTCTTCCTCAACATCTTTCTCAACCAACAAATCCAAAAAAAAATCTTTATCAGTCATAATAGTTAAGATAGTATTTTCGACCTTGATTACTTTCTCTCCGGCTATATTCTTATCTTTCTCATTGTTTTCTTCTTTTGTTTCCTCTACTATATCCACACGTGCTTTTGCTTCAATATCCTCCTATTTTATTTTTTTCTTCACGCTCTTCTTCTTCTTCAATACTGTTCAGGTAGAGATCAACCTCATTGAGCCTACCTACAGACTAAATTTGCAATGATATGAATCCCTATAAGAATGCTATGGAAACTAAATTTGCAATGACATGAATAGGAATGGCAATTTCAATCCGCCCCGCGAATGTTTACCCAAATCCACCCCGCATGGATCAAGTTTTTTTGGGTGATGGTGGGCGGTGGGTCGGGGGTGGGTCTTAAAAAAGTAAACCCGCGGTGGGTCGGGTTGGATTCGAATTTTATGTACAAAACCCGCTTAGAACCCCACCCGACCCACCATGTGTGTGTGTGTATATATATATAATAGTCAAATAAGTACTAGTGTGTAGTTATTTATAAAAGTTTATATAACTTCTTGTATCTTTTTACTATTTTTATATCTAAACTACTAAGTTTATTTTTAAAAATTAACAATTTAGTTATTATATATAAATATTTCTATTATTTTATGTTTTAGTATCACTAATGAATTTTATTATTTTATTATGTGTAAGTAATTTACATATTTTTTTTTAAAAAAATAATAAAATGATAAGTGGTGGGTACCCGTAGTGGACACCCGCACCCAATAGATGTGGGGGTGGGTTTTAAAAAAGTCCACCCGATGAGGGTTGGGGTGGGGGTGGGTGGAGAAAAAATATGGTGGGTCGGGTGAGGGATGTAGCCACACCCGACCCATTGCCATCCCTAGACATGAACCCTCCACACAGTGCGAAGGTAAAGAGTCTAGTTGACAAACGAATTCAAAGATAAATTACTGGGATGTGCAACAAGCCACAATTCTCCACTGCTTGAGAAAATCCCTAGAGCAAACTCTCGGGATGTAGGTTATACCCCTTTTCTTAGACTACAAAGCCATATTATTGAAAGCCCCAATCACAACACAAGGAAGGTGCAACTGCGCCTTCAAGGAGAATAGAAAGTTTCAAGCTTCCATTCTCCTACTTTTCGGGAAACCATAGTAGCAAGTCAAACGCCAAGGCTGAAACTTGGGAAGAGTAATCATAAGATTGATGTGATTCTTGGAGAAACTGATTAAACTAACCATGTTATTCTTCTTCCAAAACAAAGCTAAACCACCACTTAAACCAACCCTCTCTACATAAAGCAAGCCTTCATAGCCCAACTTAACACATAGCCTTTTTGCATGTGCACGATTCACCTTAGTCTCCATCAAAAAAAATTAAATCGGATTTCTTACTAAACACAATGTCTTATACCTCATGAACTATACATGAATTACCCAAGCCACAACAATTCCAGTTAAGGGTGCTCATTGGGAAGGGCGGGTCTAAACAATGGAGCCCTTTAAAAGCAAGTTTTTGGGACCTCACCCATGATTGCATCATCCCCATATGACCCCCTCACATTCTCCTTCCTCCTCTTCGATCTTACCACCACCCCTCTCCTTCCTAGGCCCATGCTTGCCTCGCCCTCATCCCTTTCTATCCCCAAAACCTCAACCTTTAGTGTTGTTGGAAATTTATATAGTAATGGAGATTAATGTTTCAGATGAACTACCATGAAAGCTTAAATAATATTTGGAGTTGTGGAGTTGTAAATATTATTTTAGTTTGGTAGAAAGTAAATTAAAATACTGGGAGAAATGTATATAGTTAATATGCTTGAGAGTATATAGCTATATGCTTGTGATATATAGCTAATATGCTTGAGAGTTATAGCTAATATGCTTGAGAGTATTAATGCATGTTTGGATATTTTCATGCGTAAGGTTTTGGGGCATTTTGAAGCTATATGCTTCAAAACTACACTTAACGTGCTTGGAATATGCACTTAACGTGCTTGGAATATGCACTTTACGTGCTTGGAATATGCTCTTCTATTTATGCATTTTGAAGCTATATGCTTCAAAGTTACACTTAACATGCTTGGTATATGTAGCTGTATGCTTGAGATTATTGAACTACATATATGGATATTATTTATATTTATTCTTTGCATGTTTTCATGCGTAAGGAATATATATATATAAATATATATATGTATATAATTTTGCATACAGTTACTGACTCAAAATAATTTTATTATTTCTCCAGTGATAGATATATCAATCAGGATATATCTTATCTTATGGAAGTTGAGTTTTAAATCACAGCAACTTCCATGTAACTTCTTCAAACAGATATATTTTTCATCTATAAATATATTGGAGAAACATCTGAAAGGAACAATGCAATTTACAGACAATTTACATGCATATTTTACAAGCAATTATTTTGTAGGAAACCAAGATACTTCACAAGCTTACATCTCTACAGGGAATTCTCAAACAAAGCAACTTGAGAATTTCATTCATCTTCTTGTATCCCATAAGATTAAATCTTGAACCTTGTTGCTTTTATAGAGGGAGATTTAAAGCTTATAGGAAAGTGATTACAGGCCTGAAGATATCAAATGATCTAGTTTTTGTTCCCTGTTGTATTCTGTATTATTGTTGTATCTCAAATGTATTACAGATTAAAAGCCCTTTTTCCAACAAGTGTGGTCACCCCTTGGCTCCCAGATTCCCTCTCTTTGAAGGACCACCAACGTAACAAGCCATGGCACCCCTACGGAGTGCAACCCCCTTCCCAAACCCGCATGCAACCACCCCCCATATGGGTAACTCTCAGGTGAAAGATTCCCATTATTGCCTTTCTACAAAAACAGTCGAAGATACCACAAAAGAAACAAAAGTTGTGAAGACGTTAGTATTTGAAATTCACCCATGTCCACAACGCGTCCCTTTTAATTAATTTCATGTGTTTCTTTAAGAGTTTCCTTACATCCAATTGTACCCCCACTCAAAAAGAACTTTTTCATGAACTCCCAACATTGAGCATTTCCATGAGCTCCCAACGTTGACCTTATCCAAGGAGATAAGAGTCCCAACAAAATTTCCCACCTGTTATAGGACCAAGTCTACCAAACTAGTT